ATAAGGAAGGGTACAACGTATATGGGATCGAAAGTGTAAAAATTTAAGGGGGTAGGATACGCGGCCGTCATTACAGTCTGTCCCCGTGCACGCTTCTTTTGGCTTCCATCTGTTCCATTCCCTGAATGTTCTATTGAATGAGGAGATTTTGACCGTAAACTGGATCGTATGTACTGGTGTTCCTAGTGGGGAAAAAAAAAACTTCCTTTCTCTCAGTCCACTGCACATATATTGGAGAGAAAAGTTTTTTGTACATCTCGTGTGATTTTGTTCTGTCAACTCCATTGTCAAGTATGACTGTTGTTGTATCACCCATCCATATGGAAGCTTATTTTTGCCAAAGAATTAAAAAACAAGGTAATTGTGACTATTTATCTCACAATTCTGACTTTTTTCTTGCAATTCTGAGTTTATGTCAGAAGTCAGAATTGTGAGATTTGAACTCAGAACAGAATTGCAAAATGTTAAGAATAAAAGTCTGAAGTGTGAGAATAGCAAGCTATTACAGGGGAAAAAAACTGAATTGCGAGATGTAAACTCAGAATTATGAGTTTATAACTTGCAATTGTGAGATATTAACACAATTTTAAGAGATATAAGTGAGACATAAAATCATTATTCAGAGAAAAAAGAGATGTAAAATTCAAATTACGAGTTTATAAATTGCAAAATATCAGAATAATGAGCTAAAAAAACAGTCATAACTGCGCGATGATAAGAACTAGTGGAAGAAAAGTCAAAACTCTGAGAATATAAACTTGCAGTTACAAGAAAAAAATTATTGTAAAATGTAAACTCATAATTATTAATTATAACTTGAAAATGTAAGATATAATCTCAGAATTTCAAGAAAAAAAGTCAGAATTGTGAGATGTTAAGACCTAGTAGAAAAGTCCAAACTGTGAGAATGTAAATTTGAAATTACCAGAAATAAAATAAAATAAATAACAACCTGAATTGCAAGATATATACTCAGAAATACAAGTTTATAACTTGCAAATTTGAGATATAAACTCACAATTGTGAGAAAACAAGTCAGAATTGTGAGATAAAAAGTCGCAATTACCTTTTTTATTTTATATGACAGAAACAAGCCTCCATACCCATCTCCCTCATTGCCTGCTTGCGATATGATTTTTTAAATGGTGATTGCTCGCAACTTTGCTCCTCATTTTTGATGTTTTTCCACCACATCAATTCATGTCTGCATTTTCAACTAAACATTTAAAAAATAAGCTTGAAGCCAGTTTGCGAAATCCGCTCTAACTTTCCTTCATCTCTCTGTTTGGTGTGTGTGCGTGGATATTTGTTTCTCCGTTCGCATCTATGTGCGTGTTCCAGGTGACCTTTTCGGACGCTATGAGGAGCAAAGCGAGACTGTCTATTACTGGGAGTACTGGCGAGAATGGACGTGTGATGAGTCCTGAGTTCCCCAAAGCAGTACATGTGGTGCCCTTTGTTAGACCTGGTGTGGGAATGAACGTCAGTCTGACTGATCTCTCCTGATGGATAAGAACCTGCCGAGTGCCTTACACAATGGTTTTCAATAGAGCGTGTTCTATTCTCTTTCCTGTCGCTCTCTCCCCTATCTCTCACCTGAATGGAGGACGGAGGCCTCATTTGATGTCATAGAGACATAATCCTTCCTTGGCCCTTTATAACAAAAGATGCACTCTTCTATTGAAAATACGCCGACTGACACAAAGACACTCGCTTAGCGAGCTGATGACATCTACCCCCTGTAACGGATATTTTTGACGACAACTTGAAACACATTGAAGCTCTTTGCGGGAAAGAGAGAAGTTAATAAAGTCTGTCTGTTTTCATAGCTGACGCCGTTCCGATGTCTATTTCGGCTCAAGCACACTTTACCATCGTCTGCTTCAGGATGTGAAATGTCTTTTTTATTAATAAAACGAAGAAAAAATCTCTATGAAAAAGTATTTTTATGTATTTTCACAGAAATGGCTTTTAAATAAACCTGCTTACATACCAGTTAATTAAAGCTGTAAATCATTATCTCGACATACTTTTAAGAGCTTAGCTACTAGTTTCACATTTTAATGCCAAATATGTTGCTTATCTTGTAATTTATTAGTCCTCTTCTGATACATTCATTAACATTTTGGTGTTAATATGAAATATCTAGCAATGCTTGTCATTTGAAATCTGTTTGAAAAGTGGGTGCCGCAGTTATGATCTCTTACTTTCATCGACTTGTTTGATTTCAAGAATCTGTTTGTATTTTTTGTTTATCAAGAAAATCAGGGTAGCGGTTATAATATTAAAAAAGAAAACGTGTTTACAATATGAACTTAAAAAGGAAAATGTAAAAAAAAAAAAGTACCTATTGTATTATTGCATATGTTTTGCTGTGAAATGAATAGAAGCATACACATCAACAAAATGCTCTGTTAAAAATGCCAAATAATTAAGTGTGCCAAAATTATTGATAAATATAGTCATATATTAATCTGTCATCAATGTGAATGTAGTCAATACATTCTGTAAGTTTTGTTACTAAATGTTCAGTTGGATGGTATATACAGTGATTTATCAAGGATTTTATTTAAATTTTTGCTTGTTTGTTTTTACCTTATAGCAATTTTTGCATTCAGACCACAGTATGGCTTTTTTACATTTCCACTCTGCATCTAGAATTTGTTTTCCAAGCATCCAAGTTACATATATTTTTCATAAAAGGCAAGAAATGCCATATTACAGGCCAAAACATCTATGCTTATTCTTCAGTATTTATGAAACCTACCACGAGAGAACAGTTTGTTTGATAATGATAATAGTTCACAGTTTATTATATCACAGTTAAACTACTATTTCCCAAAAAAACAATGGCAACTATAACAGTTAACATTTGATATAGCAATAAACCGAGATTAAAAACAAAGATGTCCCCAAAAGTGAGAGTACATTTGTAAGCTCAAAAAATGATCACAGTTATGTACATTGCTGTATGATTTTTTTTCCCCCTTCTCACTTCAGCCTTTCTCTCCTCAGTCTTCCATACTAGACTGGGAGACTGGTTAAGACTTTTGGTTTTGTCATGATATAATCACTATTAGTTGAACAAGACCATGTAATTTTAAGGACTGCTCTCGCTACCATTTTGTAAATGAATGTGTGCCAACTTGTTTATTTTTTGGGATCCTTTCTAAATAAAAGCTGACTAATAGTCTTATGTTTCGATTGCAGTTTTCAATGACCAATATGATTATAGTCAATTCAGTCCTGAGCAGGAAGCAACAAAATATACTCTGCAGACATTTGAGGTTGCAGAGCTTCATCTAAACGCCATTTTACAGAACATTTCAAGACTTCTGAGAAATATGTGCTAATCATTTGGATCATTTTTGAAGTAAAAAAGTAATTTTAGCATGATTCTTTTTAAAGTATTTCCAGTAATCACAGACAAAATGACTCAATCAAACACACCATTTCATTCTTCCAAATAGATCATTCATGAAGTGATTTCCACTGATTCCTTGTTGGGTTGGGATGGATTTAAATGTGTCTGCTAGCTGATAGGAAGTGAGAGGAATGGAGAGGTGTTTTTGATCATAAATAATCATGCTGTGACGTCTCTGCATTGGTGTTAATGAATGTCACACATTCCAAAATGACAGATACCCTCCCCCTGCTCTTTCTACATAATCTCCCTTCCATCTTTGCAGTCCATATGGTGCCCAACACTTCTGCAGACATCCATTTAACATTTCATCTAACATCTAGTCTCAAAATATTAAAGGCTCTTTGGGCTTTTGCACAAGGGTATGCATTGACTTAGAAGGGCTATTTATCTAATTCCACATTTCATGATCTGAACTTTTGTGTTTTGGGACACTTCAAATACATTCCCTGCATTTCAAAAGATGCTTGATGGCAAACAAAATAGCAGATATCTGGCTTGAGACTCAAAGCTTGTGTTAAAAGACCACCTGATCTGTTTCTGTTCCTCTACTGGGTTTCCAAACAAAGCACCCTGCTCATATTTATATTTGACCAATGATAATATGTAAAAGGTTTATGTTGTGCCATCTTGCATTTATTTTGACACTTAGTAGCATGGATGCAAAACGTGTCCATCAGTAATAGGGTGGTTACCAGTTAAATTACTATAAGATTTACAACACGTCCTCAAAAGACCTTCAAAGATGCATTGCTAAGAATAAGGCAGTGTCATCTGATACACAGACAAAAGGAGGGTTATAACTGTGGTTAAATCCACATCAGTCAGAAAACACTGACCTTTGGGTTATCTCCAGTCATTAGGTCAATAATAAGACAGGGGATTGGTGGGCTAAACTTCAAAACCCATTGCTGTGTCCAAGATGACTATCTGCGCTTCAGCTTCCCCTTTTTGCAACTCAATCAAAAGCCATCATTGATAAACTCAAGCACAGCACAGCTAGATGACAGCAGGAGGAACAAAATACTGCCCTGAATATGCCAGTGCAGTGGAGACATCAATACCTCATACAGCCTCGCCTTTCATCTCGCCACTCTCATAATGAAGCCCCAAAGCTATTTCCTGGGGTCTGCAGAGGAACCAGAGAGTGGGCTGCAAGAACAGGATTACAATTTCATGAAAACATACGCATTATAAGTGGAATTACATGAGACAAAATTGGGGTAAGAAAATTTCCTGCGGTAATCCCAATAATCCCAAATTCAAAAATGTGATTGTGTTTTAAATAATACACCAATTCACTGCATAATTTATATTACAAGCTTTGGGAAAAGACATGTAAATATTTCTGTATGTACATATTCATAAGGATGAACTTATATTACCTTCCAAAATAGAAAATGATGAAGAAATCATGTCATATTAACCAGGCGATGTAACATGACCTCAATCTCTCCATCTAGAATGGTAAAAGAGAAATGTAGGACTATATCCTCGCAATGTTTTGATTGACAGTCCATTGGATTTAATTTGAATTCACAATTTTGCCCTAGCAATGAATTTTTCATATGTGACCCAGTCGAGGGAGAAAAACTTTGATATTAGGGTCAGTGGCCAAAGTCTCATTTCAAAAAATCATTTGTATTCATCCACTACAATATTTCCATTTCCCCAGTTCAGAGATGTGATTAATCAGGACAAACTCTGATCTAGTTTTTTGGTATATTTCAAATCAAAGTATTCAAGGACAAAAAAAAAAGAAGTAATTATAATAGATGCATTTTCATGTTTTATAATCACTTATTGCATTAAATACTGAGTTCTGATAGGTCAGTCGCAGCATTTAGTGGTCAGATACTTCCCAAACAGAATACAACAGTTCTTGGCCACATTTTTAGCAGCCTTGATGCATCTACCAACCCAGAAAATGTGAAAAAGAACAACCCAGTAATTGTTTTTGGTAAGCCTTTCTCTGCAAGCTTGTGAAAAAAAAAAACAGCCACTCAGATTTCGCTCCCCCGTGACATAGAAAGGGGATCTTATTATAATATTATCACCCCTTAATCTGCAAGTTTCTGCCCACATTGCAGCCATTGTGTTTTTAACTCCATGACCAAAGTCTGTCTTTGGCTACACTGAAGAGCACAAAACAGGCTCAGAGGAGACGACAGAGCAGTGGATTTGTTGATTTATTTACTGTATATTGCGCTGCTACCACACACATCTAATATAAGCATGCAATTTCTTTCCCAGCTGTTTACCTTCACAGACATAACCAACTGTTTTTGTAACTCGTGTGTTTTTAACATAAACTTGTGTATTTGACAGTTTATGCGCAATAAGACATGGAAGAGAACTTAGTTTAGTACTCACATGCCGTGTGACAGCTGCTTTCTGCGTGCTTTAGATGCGTGCGCTCAGAAAAAACTTAAATCAAAAGTTTAAACTAATATAGTTTAAAACACATGATTTCAGTGCGATAGACACGATAATCAAAACCAAACAAATGTTTTTAGCAGAGTATCTGAGGTACGAGCTGTAAAGGCACAGACCTATTCTGGAAAAGGGGGCAGGGACCAGCAGCTCATTTGCATTTAAAGAGATGTGCACAAAAACAGTGTGTTTCTGCTTCCTCTCAAAATAGGCATTTTCAAAATGATATAGTAAATTATCTGTTTGGTATTTCGAGCTGAAACTTCACAGACACATTCTGGGGACACCTGAGACTTAAATTACATACTATTGTAAAAAGGGTAATAATAAGTCTCCTTTAAGATGAACTGTCAGTATTAGAGATATTAGAGAAATGGATATCTCACCAGATTCCATCCATAAAACTTGATAAGTTTGTGTGATATATGTGTCCCTGACCCATAATTCAGCATGGGAGAAGGTTTCACAGAACAGTCTGAAAGTTGCAGACGGCATCTGTGTTTGACATGTGATATGAAGTCTCTTCTCTGTAGACCTGACACTCAAAGCTCATCTTCATTTTGCTCCTCTCAAGGCTATCTTCAGACAACAGCTGAAAAAAATCATATTTTTTTTCTCTTGCTGTAATGGGATGGGATTCAGCACAGAAGGGAAAAAATAGAACCTGTTATCCCCTGGCTGAGTTGTCATGGAAACAGCATTGGCTGTGCTTTCCTGTGTAAGGAACAGGATGCCGTTTAGCATGTGGGATCTGAAGATGCTGTTGTAATTGATTCATGTCTTTGCCACCTTTACAAGTCATGAACACACATCTACAACAACCGATTGCTGTGATCTTTGTACCTCAAATCCATGGAGACACTAGCCGAGCTAGTCATGGAACACACTAATTTGTGCCGAAGTTCAACTAGTGTTTTGCCGCCTTACACAGCATGAGTTTCTATGGCAACCACTTCTGTGTCATGATTATTCAGCTCATCCATAAGAGATTCTCTACTGTGCAAGGGTATTAATGTGCTTTATGTAACTGAGTATGTTGTGATAGAAACCACAAATATTCTTTTGAATAACAGAGAATTAAACATAAGAACAAACTGATACAGCTCTCTCAAAATGACAAAAAAATTTCACTTTGCTATGCTGACTTCATTGCTGGTGCTTGAAAACGAAGTACAGCTGCAGATCTTTAAAAAAATATCTATGTAACAGATTGGGTCAATGTGATTGGGTTACTGTTAAAGGGATAGTTCACCCAAAAATGAAAATTTTATGTTTATCTGCTTACCCCCAGTGCATCCAAGATGTAGGTGACTTTGTTTCTTCAGTAGAACACAAACGAAGATTTTTAACTCAAACCGTTGTCAGTCTTATAATGGAAGTGAATGGGAATCACGGCTTTGAGAGTAAAAAAAAAAACATACACAAACAAAACCAAATTAAACCCTGTGGCTCGTGAAGATACATTGATGTGTAAAGACACGAAACGATCAGTCTGTGCAAGAAACTGAACAGTATTTATATAGTTTTTACCTCTGATGCACTGCAATGTCTGAATAGTAAGTGCATTACCGCCACCTATCTCTCAAATGGACCATTGAAACTCCTAATTGAGATTGTAGATAGAGTGTCAATGGTCCATTTGAGAGATAGGTGGTGGTAATGTACTTATAAGTCTGCGATGACAGAAGACACGTCACGCACCGGCTGTCGAGGACGCGCTCAGGACAGTTCAGACATTGCAGTGCATCAGAGGTAAAAAAACGATATAAATACTGTTCAGTTTATTGCACAGACCGATCGTTTTATGTCTTTACGCATCAATGTATCATCACGAGCTGCAGGGTTTAATTTGGTTTTGTTTGTGTATGTTTTTTAGCCATGATTCCCATTAACTTCCATTATAAGACTGACAGACTGCAACGGTTTGAGTTAAACATCTTCGTTTGTGTTCTACTGAAGAAACAAAGTCAACTACATCTTGGATGCCCTGGGGGTAAGCAGATACACATCAAATTTTCATTTTTGGGTGAACTATCCCTTTAAGTCAAATGCAGTACAGTAGACTAAATGGTCAGACAGTCTCTTTTGAATAGTCAGCAGAAGGGAGTGTGTGATCTCCAGTGCTTTAATGTCCTGCATTATTCACGCTCACTTACACCCCCTCACCGCCAATGCAGTAAAGTTAAATGGTGTGTCTCTGAGAAGGGAGATATGTGACTCTTGTATGACTGAAGCAGTGGCTGAGTGTATGAGTCACTGCTTCTTAGCATTACATAAATAAATATATAAATCTGTAAATGAAAGCATCAGTGTGATCCAGTAATTTTCCTCATGGG